TTTATTGTCCCTCCTTTGTTCTTGTTTCTCCTTGAAACATAAAAGCTTGCAGCCCACAGACTCTTGACATTTCTTTTAAATGCTCTTGTCATTCAGAAATTGCCACAGTCATCTCCTGTAACTTTGCACTTAGTGTTCCCAGCCTGTTTGGGGTTACTTGCAGAAGTTGAAAAGGAAATGCGAATAGATTACAGGGCTCAATCCTGCAAGGTGGAGAGTCTTCTAGTTCTGAACCAATAACACACTTAACCATTTACTTAACTTCCAGCGTGGGAGTAGTCTGACAGAACTGTGTGACCACTAACTGAATTACAATATTGAGAATGAGAGGGTGAAGATGTCTGCAAAATAAACAGCCACTCCAGATACCGAGGGCAGGTGACACTGTGTGGGATTTTTACAGGATCTTGTTGATTTATGAGCACAATTATGGCTTGCACTGGAATCTGCCACTTAAATGCTTTTCTCAAAATCTGCCTCTCTGTGATCTGGGGTTAGGTCCCAGGGCACTTTGAATTCTCTTCTGCACACCATGGCTGTTTTTCTGCTCATCCTGACCATAACATGTAGCTCTCCCTCTCTCTGATGCAAGCTCATGAAGGATGGGGTGTCTTTCAACATGCAAGACAGTTCAAGAGGCTTGGAACTTATTATCCCAGACCCAAACAACCTCATGGGAAACTCAGTCTCTGGCCTTCGTAGCCATCTAGGGTTAGAATAAAAGCTGAGAGCTAAGAATAACAGTTAAGAAAATCCTGGACCTTTAGGTCGCCTTTATTGACCTAAAGACAATGCAGGAATGCCAGGTGGAGCTTTATGAGCCATTGAACTAACAGCATATTTTTTAGTACTATTAGCTGAGTATATGAGAAGGGATAGTGATAATCAGCTTGTAAATGGTGCTACACTCAATATGAAAACAAGCATAATATCACCTCCAACATTGTCTTCTGAAAGGCAGCCAAACAGAGGGAAGACACCGATCAGGACCTTCACCTATCTCTGATTGATAGGAAAGGTCCTACAATCCTGACCTGGGTGGTGCTGTTGATCCTAGATAGTATTTGGGTTTGGTTTATTATCTGTTGTGAACCTTATCCTCCAACCAGTGCTCATCTCTGGGAAAAATTCTCTGTGATCTAATCCCTGTAAACACTTTGTTTTTTCTTGTGTTGGACATTTTCTTCGTTTATCCTTTTTGGTGAAATTTATGTTTTTGTCACTTATGCTTCCAAAACACTTTTCTTTCAGCCCTGAGCTCTGGGGAACCTGAACACTAGCCAGCTCTTCCAAGGACACGTGGAACTCGTATTTCCTAGCTGAATCCTGACAGTTCGCTGGGCAAGAAAGCTTTTTTTTGTCTCACACACGCTGTAAATTGGAATAAAAACCTTAACTTTTTCAAGTTGTTTGTGGCTGAATGTAGAAGTTGTTTCAATGAAAAGATGCAAGAAAAGCAAGGCAGAGTGGTGCCAGATGGGGGTTTCAGACCTCGTCAGTCAGAGGAAAGGAATGGACCCAAGTTCTCAATTTCATGAGTAAGTGCTTGAAGACAAGGTATCCATGGAAAATGTGGTCCTTTCTCTTTTCACTGTAGCCTGTCAAATGCAGTGCTGCTGGAGTCCAGAGAGCACCTTGCCTTCTGGCTAGGGCATCCCAGACATTTCAGGCAGGTACCAGAGTGTGATTATGGGAGCTGGATGGGCTTAGTGAAGCCAAGGACATCCCCAGGCACAAGGGACAGCAACACTTCAGAGAGTCTCCTCAGAAGATTTTGTCAGGGAAATGAAGACACTTACAACTTTGCAGGCACCCAAGTGGGATGGCATTATTTTTTTCACAGATCTCTCAGTTCAGCTGAGGTGTCTATATTTTGTGCAACTGCTGTTTTAAATGTTGCCCTTTGGGATTTGCAAGATGAGGCCTCAGGTGGCTTCAGGAAGCTGTGTTGCACTGAAGAGGCACAGCTTTCTCTCAGAAATCCTGGGTAAGATACAACAAGTGACATGAAAGGTGTGTTTTGCATGACGTACGTGGAAAAGCCAATTACATGTAATTAATGTTGGTTAAATTCTTTGAAGATGAAAAGCTTTTATATAAGTGTGATTAACATCTATTCTGTCAAAATGATTGTCTTTCTAATGTTTTAAGAAGCTTAATAGCATGCTTCAGCTTTTCAGTGTTTATCTCTGAGATGTGATGACCCCATGGAAAGCATTCACAGGAAAATTATATAAGAAAGGCCTTCAGTGGGAGTTAATGTTGGCCAAAAACCAGGAGTAAAGACGGAGACACTGTGGGACATAGATGATTCACCTGTCAACAGCTCAGTCTCTTACAAAGGGTCCTAATCAGCAAACCAATTGAGTGATGCTAAAGTATTGTCTTGATACAAGGTCTTAATTGTGAGTACTTACTGCAGAGTGGCTTGTGGAGCCCATGAAAAGACAGTTTGTGCATGCTGGACCTAGGTTTAGAAGGTGCACAGTAAGGTGTACCAGCTTACACTTAGCAGGAGCCCAGGATCTGGCACAGGACTGAACAGACACCTCCAAATGGGAATTTTGCCACCGATTTCAATGAACGCAAGAAATGTCTACATTTTAGCAGGCACAAAAACAAGCTGTTATTGACTGAAGACTTGTAGTCAATTGTCTTGCTCCGACATATTTTGCTTTCCACTGTAAATAAAGTGGATTTGATTGTAAACCACTCACAGGAGATGAGAAACAATAAGGGTCAGACACAGAACAATAGGCGTTCTGAGAAAATAGTGAGTTCATACATTTGGCAGTTGTTGTTATTTTCTGAAAATGAGTGCAGATGTTTTACTATGCAGAAATCACTCCAGACTTTTATGGTAGAAAGAGGCCATGGAGTAAATAAACTGGTGACAGGTATAATGAAAGGCATTCCGTTTATTTGCCTGTTCAGTTATTTTATTCAAGAGAGCCCTGTTTTGCCTACCACAGGCAAATCCTCAAGACCATCTTGAAGGAGTATCTCCCTGGAAAAAAGAATAGAGCATGATCATGTAGCAAGCCCAGGCCTTCTGGATGACAATCAAATAGATTACTTAATTCTTTGTAAGCAATTCCTAGAAAGCACTGGTTCCCAGAAGAGACACATATGAAGGCTCTGCTCTTTATGTGCTGGTGGGGAAACGGAAGGGCTGTGCCTCCAGTAGTGAAGTGAATGCCATTTGAATCACTCTTGGTGCTGTTGCCAAGAAAAGTGTCCAGAAATCACTGTACATCAGCCTGATAAGAGTCAGGGAGGTTTTCAGGGCTTAGGAATGGGCAGAGATCATAATCTTTTCCTCCATCAGTCATCTTCCTATATGAGCTGATCCACTTGGGTTAGAATCAGCCCCTGTAGCTTTTTCCTGTTCAGTGGAGGTTGCAAGATAGCTCTAAGTTTCTGGGATCAACTTTTCCTCCACAGTTCAGCCAACCTGGCAAAACACTTCCCTGCATTGCCCTCCTGGCAATAGTGGGTGAGTGGGTGCTGGGGTCAGTACTGGGATCAATTGCAGCTATATTTGCTCTCGAGCACTGTGACAGCGTCATTCTGAGCTGTTGTCCTTCAGGACAACTCTCTTGAGGTTCATCACATCCCTCAGCAGTACCATTAATGGGGGGAGTGGGGGCATTCAGGACTCACAGGTGCCACCTTACCCAGCCTCAAGGTCTGTGCTTATCTTGTCAGTCTACACATGGTAAACCAGGTGAGACAACTTCGGCTTCACTTGGACCTGCTAACACACGGGGAAGATACATGAGGTCCTCAGGGCTTATCTCTGTCAGTTCACATTTATTAATACTTTGTCTGCTTTGCCTTCACTGGGATTTTACCTCAGGTTAATTACTCTGTATTTGCTAATGCCATGTAGGAACGTGCATTTTTTTTCCCACTGGTGAAGAGAAGCTGGATGCAGAGAAGAGCTCACCTCTACTGTAGCTTTCTGGAGCACTGGCAGCTTCATCTTTCAAAAATGCAATTGGTAAAAATGTCAAACTGTTCCCATGAGGCTGTTGCTGAAGGTGGGGATTCACACCCTCTCCCATCAGGCACCAAGGAATGCTGCTGGAAACTGGTGTTGTACCTCTCCCTGGCATTTATTGCCTATTGTGTTTTCAAGTCCATCACCTTCCATAAACACTAAATGCCCAGAAAAAGAGTTTTAGAGATAGAACTGCAAGATAACCCACCTTTCCCTCAAAGGGAGGCGTATGATAACTTCAGCTTTTGTTCTTGTGACCTGCCCTTGCAAGACTGAAAAGAGCTTTGAGCACACACCCAGGAGAGCAGGAAATCTCTCCTACGGATCACTTGTAAAATGGCCCGGTTTGAAAAACATGCTGCAGAAAGAATGAAGCCTGACTGCAAAGGAGAGTGGGGTTTTTTTTCACCCGTGAATAGGATTTCAAACTAGCAGCCAAAGTGAATCATTATACATCCTTGCCATATGCCACTTTCAATCAATAAGGCCTTATGCTCTGCTAACAATCATCCTAAACTATACCTATTAACAAGAATGCACATTTTCGTAGTAATATTCCATGCACGTCACCGCACACAGACTGCAAACAGTTGAGAGGGATCACAGCCGAAGGGAGATGGTTTCTGAAACAAGTGTGTGGACGTACACCACACTGTAGAGGCTGCCACTCTTACACGTGTAGGCTGGTTTCTGCTTTTTAATAGCATACGCTCCTACAGACTGGTGGGTTTTTTCTCTCTTTCAAGCGTAGGCTTTCTTGATGACCCAGACAGTTTCTTTCCTCATGACCCAAGACTTTCTCAGAAGTGGCTGATGCTCTGAGGATAAGGTACAGCAATAGCCACAGAGGGTGAGATATGGCTTCAACAGAACCCTTTCAGCTTGGAGGGAGGGAGATGACAGCAATCATCATGAACTGATCATCCATATGATGAGTTCACACCTGAACCAATCTTTCTGTGAAGACATGAAAACCTGCTATAAAAGAGACACAGCATTTGAGGCATGTGGTGCAGGAAGCACAGACTTTATTTCCTACTGATCACAGGGAATTTCTGTTCCCCACCTGCTATTTCTTTCGTCCACTTACATTGCAAACTCCTCCTGATGGGTGTCGCTTCTCCAAAAATACTGTGCTTGCCATAGAAGTTATTGACTGAAATGGCACAGTCTGGGCTGCTCAGGGCATCCAAGTCTTACAGTGTGGGCACGAAGCTCTCGGTAGGTTCACCCAACTAAAGCAGAAATCTGGACTTGAGGGAGTCACCCGTGGCTCCCTCACCAGTCAACAGAGAGCCTGTCAATACTGCCAATGGAGTCCACGGTGATTCATCTCTTCCTAAAGTAGATGGTTAAAACAGAGCAGATGAATTGAATAATAAACCAACTTATTTCTTCTTGCTGCCTTGAAAGCCCAGTGTGACAGCTGGCATTTAGAAATCTACTCGGTAAATACCTGAAAAGAGGGGAGTCTAATCCCACCACTACACTCACGACCTTCCCTTGCCCTAATTCTCTCTGTGCATCTAAGGCACTTGGTGGTGCAACTCGCTCCGTGCCCTGCAGTGCACACAGAGTTACAGCTGGGCTGGGGGATGCCAGAGCAGAGTGGCAGCCCCAAATTCAGGTAACTAAAACATCCCACTCCTGACCAACAGCTCAGAGCCCCTGTGTGCCTCTAGGCCCCAGGTCCCCAGTCCCATACATGAGTCAGAGCCACTGCAGTGTGTGAACTGTGCACTGGGATTGCATCAGCCCTGGGTGTCTGGCAGCGCAGTGCTCAGGCCAGACCATACAAAGTTCTGATGTCTATGGATCCTGGATTAGTAGAGCATGTACAGTATGGCAAGTCCTGATCCAATGGCCTTCAGATGCTACCACATCAAAAACCCTTCTATCTTTCTCTCAAAGAGTGAATTTAAGCTTTGCTTATTTCTGTTTTATAACTAAAGGCTGTTTCTGCAACCGTTGTGTAGATAATTACACATGGTCCATGTGACACTCTTTCTGAGTAATCCTTGTGTATTTTGCAAGGTTCAACATAAAAATTCTTTGCTAATCAAAAGGCATTACTGCTTGGATGTTTCTGTGTTGCAAAATAACCTCCAGTCAATCAAAACTCCTTCAAACAACCCCTGTCAATGCTTTTTCCTTTGGAACCTTGTTTCCCGTGGGTGAAGGTGTGAAAGGAGAATGTGCTTACCTTTGAGCACAAAGCTGTGTGACTCTCGGTGTCAGTGATACCACCAAAACACAGCTGAGGTGCCGCAGTGCCCTTTTGCTGGCTTTCTGTGCAAGTACACATCCATAATAGCATCATTTGCTGCAAAGATTTCACTCAGTTTCTTCCTTTCTGGCAGAGCATGCACTCATTGGACCTAGAAGTCCTTATTCCTCAGACGATTCCTCTTGCCTTTCAGGAAGATTTGTAATCCTGGAAGGGTTGTGCAAAATTTATACCACTAATTTTTCATATTTGGTGATATTAATGATGTACAAGCTACTGGATTCGGCACAAAAGAACTGGCCAAACTGCTGCAGTCTATTTCATATGTGAAGTAAATATAAGTGATCAAAGGATTACTTCTGCTTGAAAAGGCATTAATACTACTAATATCAGCTGAAGTAATTAAACCATGTGTATTTGTTTAAACACTGTAGATGTTGACCCTATGGAACCCTCTCCCTTCTTTTTAACATCCATAGACATTTTGACATCATTGGGATCCTTAGTAATGAGGGCAGTAAAGTTGGGCAGAAAACTACTTTTGCTGACAAGAATGCTCAAAGTCATGAAATAAACACACTCTTATTCCAAATTGGGATGGAAGCTCAAAATCACAGCCCCAGAGTCCAATCCTGGCAATGACAAAACCACATGGTCCCACCTAGTTTCACATCTGGAAAAATATAGTTAAACACCTCCTAACACTTTTGGCTGCTGTTTCTGGCTGACACAAGATGCACCTGTTCCCAAAGCAACCCTGCATCCCTGAGGATCCTGTGAAGGCACAGAAAGGGGATGTGGGTCGTCCCTTGCAGTGGCTACTTGGGGGTGAAGTCAAAAGACGGCTTTCCCTGGGGCTGAGCAAACGAGGTGGTAGGCATTTCACATAAAAACATTCCTTTTACATTACTTTAAAGACCTGTGGCTGGTAGAAAGACAGAGTGGCATCTGCCCATGGTGATTCCTTCCTGTGGTGTCCCCAGGCATGGTTTGGGACACTGGGCTGCTTTATCACACGTGTGCTCTCTAATTTTGTAGGAAGGATGTCAACTGTCAAGATAATAACTTCATTACCCCATACTACACCCTGAAACACAGTTCCATGTCATGCTTTAGTCTGTTGTTTCAGACACAGCCAGTGGGGCTGGCTCTGCATGGACATGTTGGGCTGAACTTGAAGCAAACTCAACTTCCCAAGCTGCAGCTAATTAGAAGGGGCTTCCAGTGGGTGAGAGAAGAGCTTTAGCCATGGCCAACTGTGATTTCCAGCCAGTTTCAAATCCAAACCCCCAGTAACAGTAGAATTGTGTTTCCTACCCTGAGCAGACAACATTTATTAATATTTGTGTGTTGTCAGTTTTTTCATCCCTCATTTCCCTTTACATAGTTTTATTTTTCCCAGTCAATAAGAATGATTTTATTCTTCTTAATTAGATTTTTTTTTTTAGGTTTCCCATAGTAATTAATGCACTTTTCTTCAGCAGTATAACCTATTACAGTGGTTAAAATATTAAATCATGACTGGTGCCAGATCTAAGGGAACAACAAACATAGAGTTTTCAATAGCCACTTTGTCTTCATCTTTTGAATTAGTTTGCAGTCTGCTTTACATTTTTGGGTAAGTAATAAGATTTGTTGATTTGAATGAAGAACGATATAAAAATAAATTGCATTGTACTTTTAATTACATAGTCTTAATTTTTTTGTGGTGACACTCCAGGCTCTCATATAATGTTGGTTAATGTTTACATCTCTTTACTGATTTGATAATTTAAATACAGAAATGTGGTTTAATTTGCAAATTTCTACATTAATTGTTGGGGTGCTGTGCTCATTAAGGAATCGGGGGAATTCTGTGTTTTCCCCTATCTCCTTCATGCAGAAACAGCCACGTATGTTCCATATTGGCTTTTTCTTAGGCAGCAAATCTCAGCTACAGAGATGCTTTTCTCCTCCACCATTGTGAGACCGTGATTCTCCCCATGCTTCACATTTTTTTCCAGAGGACTTGGTGTGAAATGGGCTGTTGCTCCAGGGAGCCCTTTTTTTTTTGGGACTCCTTGGAGGTGGTTGAAGGCAATGGTGGGTAGGTGGACATGCTAGCCTTGGTGGGTTTTTAATTCACCTGGGAAATCAAACACCTTCACAGCACTCAGAGGGCTTTGAGTACACCCACCCCCCTGCAGAGGACATGGTGGAAGCAGGTCTTGCAGAAGTCCACAGAAAAATGTAGGATGAGCCCAGTGGGATTTCCTTGGTTCAGAGTGAGGATGATGTCCTACTGCTCTCCAGGTGTTATTCAGAAATAGCTACGAGAATGCAACCAACCAACAGCAAACCTTCAAACCTTCCTTCCTCCATCAAACCAGCATCTCTTCCCTACCTCATCCACTCACCTCAGTTCTCTTGGAGAGCAGCCATGGACATCCTCCACCACTCCCCAGGCAATGTTAACCACTTGGCTAAATCCCACTTTTACGAGCTGTTTTTGAAGTGTTGGTGTTTTAGTTTTAGAGCTCCAGACACATTTCAGAGTTTCTGGAAGTTTAGCAAAATTAAACTTTTCTTTCAAAAATCCATCACCACAAAACTGTTTTCCCCTCCTCCTCATTAATGATTTACTTTCTGTGGAATAAATGCACCAACTGAGGACAGAATCATTATTAAAATCTCAGTTAACAACACAATATTACTTTGTTCCTTTCATTTCCTCCACTATTATAAAATTCAAGATTCATTTCATCTATTAATATTAGCGATCTATTTTTTTTTAATTTTGACCAGGCACAAATTAAAAGGGGAATGATATTATGGAAACGGCACTAGAACTTATTTCTTTTTTTCTTTTTTTTTTTTTTTTTTTTTTAAAATCTATTTTTTCCCCTTCCATCAGTTCTTTCTTTGCATCTGATATTGGCTTCTGTTGCATTGATATTCCCAGTGACTTCATTTGATACCTGGCATTACTCCCTTGGAAGTCAACTGGAAGAGGCCAACAGAATTTCTTGGTAGGTGATTAAAATTAAGGGTCAATGAAGAGAAAGGCTGGCACACCGGTCTGGGAGCAAGGGAGTTGGATTTTGATCCAAGCCCTGCCACAAAATTGCTCTGTGACTCTGAGTAAGTCATTTTATTACTCTGTACTGCAGTTTCCATGTGTTTAAAACAGGACCAGGAGTGTTTACTGCTCATTGTTCGAGTCTCCCAGCAAATAAAATATGATGTATCAGAGCTAGCTGGGCAAGCAGGCACAGATCCTTCTCTCAAGAAATCTGTGTCCTAGAGTAGCAGCAGACAGTGAGGACAGGGCAGAACAGAGATGCACTGTTTTTCCACGAGCTCACAAATCGCTCCTATTCCCTTTTCAACAGATCACTGTCAGTGGGTTCTAATGAGATTTCCTTTGTGCCTCTGTAACACTAAATATAACCTGCGATATTTCTCACGTGCAGCATCTCCTTGTCAAAGAAAAGCTGGATTTTCAGTGCTCCAGAATAACCAACTTCCACAGTTACAGCACACACATTTCTTAGCTTGTTTCTGTGCACCATCAATCCTGGGAGCTGCACATCAGCTAAATATGCATGTGATTGCTTTGCAATCCTCTTGATTACAAACAGGCAGGTGCTATTGTGGCAGGTCTTCCCAAATGCTGCAGTGCTGAATTCCAGTGATTCAGTGGCAACTGGAGAAAATAAAAAAAACCAAACAGTTGGATAAACCCCTCTAAGGGGCTCCCAGTACAATCAACAATACCTCAACCACTCCTGCAAGAGTTTTGGCTAACAACTTCCTGCAGTGCCAATTCCACAACAGCCATAGCACCGGAAAATTTTTCCTTTTACCTGTGTTGTTCCTGCTGGAGTTGAAGCCCATTACTCACCCTACTTGCAGAAGGTAAAAGGACACATTGTGCCACTCCTCTTTGCATCAGTCTTGCATGTATTTGACAATTTGTTTTGTCTCAGCTCAGACCACACACTTCTCTCTCTCCGCTTTACCTCAAAGGCAAGTTTCCTACACCTCCAGTCACTTTTTATGCACCTCTTTGGGCCTTCCCCAGCTGAGCTATATGTTTCCCGAGGTGTGGAAATTGTTCTTGAGCCAAGACCCTGCCATTGCCAAGCAGAATGGAAAGATTGACCCATGCCAGTGTGCCCCTCGCAACCGACATCCCAGGAGAACTGCTGGATTTTTGCAGCACTGGGTTTCTGCTGCACTCTCAAGCATCACAGTCTCAGATCTTTTTCCACATGGCAGCAGCCTGGCCAATTGTTCTTCATCTTGTATTAGAGAAATTGATTTTAACTCTGCTGCCAGGGAGTGCAACATTTTAATTACTTCTGTGGATAAAGTCCGTTGTTCCTATTCTGATCCGGACTTAAGAGATAAGTAAAGCAAAGCCTATCAGAGATCCTGCAGAAGCCTGAGCTGGAACCCAGGCCACCAGAATACCCCCAACCAGTACCTCTGCCATATATCCTTCAGCCTTCTCATGCCATCCTCGTTTTTTTAAAATCTTTCTTCTCCCTCCATTATTATTGAATTCTTTCCACATCTGATGTCAGTAGGCACTTGCAAGCATTTAAACTATTGTAGGTGAATAATTAACAGTAAGAATTATTGTGGGTGCATCATCCCACAGCAGGATAGGTCACAAGAAAAGAGAAACAGATTGGTTGCTTGTTGGATTATTGATAATTTCCCTGCTGCTGGAACCTGCTTCTCAATATAAATGAGTGGCATTTGGTAGCAAAAATAAAGGACAAGATCAGTGGCCTTCAGGAGCAAGAGAAGGTTGGGTGGATACGGGGCCAGGAAAGTCAAGACATAAAGTGCAGTCTTCCTGCCAAAGGACCTAATCCCTATTTAGGGGACACCAAGACACCTACAAATAGATAAAAACTTGAGGCTGACTATAAAAATATTTCTGTTTCATTCATCTGAAATCCACAGACAGGCACTGCTGATGCCAAGAACCCACAATACTCTGGCATCACAACCTGCAGGGCTGTCTGCTCTCACTTGTGAATACATTTATCACTGATAATATGCCAAAATGTCCAAGAGTTGAATACTGGGGAGCTCTGGGAAGGAGAGCAGGTTCTCACAGGCATGACTGAGTGCAGCAGAACTTTATCTGCATCTGTCCTGGTGCTGTGTCACTCCCATCTCCCTACAAAACTGATGGACCGGTGACTGGATTCTTAACAGCATAGTTTTTATACTTAATATTTGTTACATGTGCTATGTCCTATGCCATGAGGCTGAAGAAATTGTCTGAGAAAGTGCATTAGGACAGCTGAGCAAGAAGCAGTTGGTAGGAAGGTAAGGAGGCAAGACCGAGATGGAAGAAAATTAAAGCCAGAAATTGCTTGGATGGGTCCATCAGGCAGCTCTTCAACATCCCAAAGACCTTCAAAATAACTGGGAGGGCTGAATCCAGAGAATTTCCCCAGAGCCGAGGAGTAGATGCCAGAGATATTGGCATGGGGAGTCCAGGACTTCAGCAAGGGAATTTAGCCCCTGAGATATGGCTAAGCAGTCCAAGGGATGGAGTGAGTGTCATGCTGCACAACTAGAAATGTCAGGAAGGGACAATTGAAGTGTTTGGACTTTGGTGGGCTGAGGAGAGATGATCTTCCAATGAGTAAAAGCTGAAGAAGAGAGAAAAGGAGGAACCATTCCCCCATATACTCAGTAAGGACCAAATTACATCAGGAAAGGCTGAGGTTACACAGGAGGGAAGAAGTTCTGCAGGCTAAACTCATCATGCCTGTGAGCCTGGAGCACTGCAGGAAGAGGTAGGATGAGCATTTATCAGGAATGCCATAGGTCAATTAAACACTGTCAAAGGGAGGAGAATGGACAGGATGACACCTGAAGATCCCTTCCAGCATTAGCTCCCCACTTGCACATTGCCAACTGTCAGCATGTGGGATGAGCTTCCTCCAGGTGGTTTACATCAGCATTTTCCCATCATGAGCAGCAAAGGTAGACACTTTATGGTGTAAAAACAAACTCTGGTCCCAATAAGACAAAAGGAAAACTACCTTGTTAGTAATGTCCAATTCATTACTCAATACCACATAACACAATAATGTTGCACTTTAAAGCTCAGTGCATCTGCCTCGTTCTATTTAAACTGTGGTCTTGAGTGTTTATCATCTCCTGCTAATGGCAGTAGAGTATGTGCCACAAAAACTTAATTATTTGCCTTCTCTGAGAGGGTATTTTTCCTGATTAAAGCCTTCCTGAGAGCAATGCAGGAAGCACTCAGCCCCACCGGGCATTCTTATACCCTAACCACTGAAATCTGGGACAAAGGCCAGTAATCTGGGACAAACTCTAAAAATACACCAAACACTCCAGGACATGTTTTATTGGTCCTTCCATACATGCCTTGAGTGTGTCAGGAGGCACAAGGCCACAGGTAACAGTGAAACTTAACCCTGCAGTGCAGTCCAGCTGGCTTCAGGAGGGATACAGATGCTTTTCTTCAAAAAGCCATTTCAAAGGGACACAGCACCTCCCTAAGAACCTTCTCGTTGTTAAAGCTTAATTGCAACCGGTTTAAAACCTCTGAGTTTAAACTGAGTCTAGGTTTTTAAATAAAATACCAGAATTTGAAAGATGTCCTTCTGCCAACTAAACACCTGGGGAGAGAGGAAGGCAAGGGAGCTGGAGAGATGACAGGCTTTGGCTCTAGGCTGCTGTAGCCACCATATGTGCTTTAAAAGACCTGCATTGCATTTCCAGGTAAAACATCAACAGCTGAAGACAATGTGAGTAAATAATTACTATCTTCTTTTACACAGGATGGTAACTTAAGCAGACAAGGTTGGAAAACAGTCTAAGGGCTCTTCTCACTCTGCAAACTCAAGAGCTGTTGTATTCTCAGGGTCTTTTTTAGGTGTTACAAAACCCCACAGGATCTGCTGGCAGCCACCCAAAGGCGTGCAGCACTTAAGGCTGGCCTGACCTGGTCCAAAAACACTCCAAGCTCAGAGCAAGTTTAACACCTTGCCCTTCCCCCAGACAGTGTCAGCAACACTGGCTGTTGTGCACAGCAAAGCAGAATGACCAGGGCAGCTCTGCAGCTCCCGAGCCCCAGGTTCACAGCGTCACACCTCGGCTGGCCTTATGCCAAGGATGGAAAGATCTTCTTTTGCCCTTCTGCTTGTCCACCTCAAGTAGAGGCTTTGTGGATAACCTGAATGCAAGCAAAATGATCTCATGATGGGACCTGTATTTACTTACCTTCAGCTTCTAACGGAAGGAGGACAGAATGCTTTATAGGCACAGAGCAAGAGATTAATAGATTGACACTACTGGAGGCTGTCAGTCCACAGAGTTGTCACCAAAAAGCAATTCCAGTGTGGCTACACCAACTCAGGAACACATTTTCCTGACAGGTAACCAGGCAGCTTTAAATAGAAGGAATTTTGCTGCTGTGGCCCTTGGTAAACTCTTTGAATGGTTAACTACAATCAGCTGGTAGGAACATCTTCCTTCCACCAAATTTAAGATGCATTGACTTCAACTGGCTGCAACACACTGTCTTGGAAGTTAGAGAGTATTTATTTTTTTATGAGCTAAGCATCAACAACGCTGTATTTATATGTTACAGGGCATCTGAAGAAGAGAGCATAAAAGCAGGACATGTCTAAAGTTTAGGACCATAGTCTGCTTTTACATACATACATACATATATATACATATATATATTCTGTGCTTTTCTGACTCCTGGCCACTGGCTTTTGCAACAGTCAGAGCTTTTGTACCTGTGGTTGAGGGAAGGCCCTCTGCGGGCTGCAAAAGCAGCACAGCCTGGTGTTTCAGGGGAATTTGAATGCTGGTTTCTTATGACTAAAAGGCATAGTAGCGCTTGAGGGAATAAGACAAAGCTGGCAACCACAGTAGCTTTAAATACAGTGAATCTCAATGAAGAAAATACCTGAAAGGAACCTCAAACGTCAGCCAGACTTTTGACACTGTGACCTGGGTTTAAAAAGGATAGAAAACACAGTCCTTTACCAATTAAGCATATACCGTCATTGCAGAATTAGTCATATGATGTCCCTAATCCTCCTCGTCTGAACACAGGAGTCTCCAACTCGAGTGTGGGTGTGCTTTGGTACCCGGCAAGCTGGCACAACTTGGGGGTATGGATTAGAGCCTGGATTCTCCTTTTTGGGGGCAGGTAACATGCCCATGGTACAACTACCACCCAGCGTCAACCATCCTCCAGAGACTTCTTGCAATTAAGTTCCCCACTCAAAAGGCAAGAAGAGTTCTCCTGGATTTAAAGGGAAATAATTATCCAACGACTGCTGGTTACAGCTGTAAAAATAATGAGCTATGCCCCAGAAGTCCTAACAAAATCCATGGATAAGTAAAGTGTCACTAAAGCTCTGACCTGAAGAAAGTTTTGGCACATAGCTCTGATGTCGGCTGACACGTGCCAGTTGCTGGTATTTATGCTTTAATCAAAATACAACTGAAACCAAGGGAGAAGTTCAAATTCTGGACGACAGCAAAACCGCTGGACTGTGGGCATTTCAGTAACAGATCCCTTTGCTCGGTATATTCCCCGCTAATCTGTCAACATCTGATGCCTTGCTCTTTAGTCTGGAGCTAAGAAAAGCTATCAAAAAATATAGTTTAGGGCCCATTCTGTCTGCTGCATCACTCGCTATTTTTACCGGCTGCACTGAAGCCAGACTGCAAAGGGCAAATTTGTCAACATGGGTGGGCTTTTTTAGTGTGAAGCCCAAGGGCTCGTACAGACAGCAGAAGAGACTATCTGCATCCATGTCTGGAAGTCCAGGCTCTAATTTAGAGCTGCTTCAAATATAGAAATTCCAGCGAAGTTAATTGTAGCTGCATTATGGAGAGGTGACAGCAGCGGGTCCTTAGAAAGCTGGGGAAGGTCTAAATCTGCCTCAAGTCTCTTCCCTTTGGAGTTAGGCAAAGCCACTGGGAGCAGAGTCAAGCTAATACTGGGTATAAATCCTACTGGGAAATTCCACAGGTGAGATTTGATTTTGCTGATCACACAGCAATGGCATTTCTTGAAAATAAGGATAAAGCTCCTTAGCAAAACTACCTTTTCTGTACATGCTGAGAACTGCGTGACATTGCCCTGTTATATCAACTGGTCTGTGCTTTTAAAATCTTCCTAATTCTGCTCACAGCCTAGAACTTGCCTTACTGTTATATTAAGAAACAGCTTCATAGTGTGGGTTGGTTATTACTGGGAAGCGCTTAATTACAATAAAATGTGTAGTTAAAGTGACAGTTTATTTACTCAAGGTTATGAATATAAATTGGTTTTTCTTACCCATGCATTTTGAAACTGGAAGGCAGAGGCTGGGATCCCAGGAGTTCCTTTAGGCTGGGTGATTTCCTACAAGCAGCTTTAGGAACCAATATGGAAACTGCAGCCTGTGAACCAGTTTGCTGCCTCAAGGCCACAGCACACATTTCCAACCTGTTGCAAGTAATGTGAATTTTGCTTAAGAAGGCTGAAAGCGGGTCCCTGTAATTGCACCAGAGCTCTGTAACCTGCAATGAACCAACGCTGAGCTGAAAAATAAATCCCCGTTAGTGAACACTTGAGGAGATAAAGAAAACGTTGGGCCCCCTCCCTGTAGTATTTTCCATGTTTTATAACACCTCTGTCAGTATAAATTCCCATTCAATGAAGAAATTACGTTTCACGAGCACTACAATAGGATTTTAAGATAAATGACATGCGAGCACTGCAGTTTTGTACAGCCTTAAGTGATCCAAGCATCTTTATCACGTGCATGGTATCAAAATACATGAATTTGACTCGTTACAACAGTCACACGAGAAAGATTGAGTGTCATATGAGGCTGCAAAGCATAAAACCATCTTAGCTAAAATTTATTTTAGCACGGGAGGGTTTTTTTAACTGTTAAGTATAATTATTTAAAAGCGGTCTGAGCTGTGCTGCTCTAGTGATAACTAGAAACAGAAAACAGCTCTTGAAAACGCTGCTGGTAAGGGCACTTCTTGCAAGCACTGCCTGCTCTTAACACTTGCTACCTTCATTCATTGCTTTTTCTGAAATTCTTGGAGACTGATGAAGTTTTAAAGTGTCACGTTGCTAAGGCTGTAACATTATCTCCAGCGACAATACTCACTCCTGGGCTTTCCTGTTGCAAGTAGAGGGAACATTTTACCTTTTCAAACGGGTAAACACCTCCCTGTGAAACAATGTAAGCAAGACGGAATGAAATTCAGTAACTGAAAATTCAGTGTATCATTCCTCCCCGGGTAAAAGGCCCTGGGTCCAGCCGTCGTGGGTCAGTTTGCTCTGTGCAGCATTGCCTGTGCCACACAGCAGAAGCTGCCCTGGTGCAAAAGGCCACGTCGTGCCTGTCTCCTCGGGTGGCTTTAGGACAACATCCGCAGTGCCCTGGGCCTGTTTCCTCAAAAGCGATGACAGCTGCGTGATAAACACACTCCCGAGTCCCTGCCTGTAAGGCACCAATTCAGGTGCTGTGAAACGGGGCCTTTCATAGCACAGAGATTTAAAAATAGGAGCAGCGCCGGCCGGGGAGTGTTTGAGCCTGGGCAGGGAGGCGGCCCAAGTGACCGCTGTGTTGGTCACCCTGCCTGCTCCCGAGGGCTGATGTCCTCTTGGATCGAGTTAAATGTCTTGTTTTAGCTGATCATGGGGATCCTGGTACAGTGAAACACCGGGTCATATTTTATCACCCGACACCCTTCTCCATACTTCAGTCACTTGGTAGCTGTTTAACAACTTATTCCTCAAATGAAATAAGCAGAAATATTGACCCGTTATTTGCTTTCAAATGAAATAAGCAGCTTTATAGGAAATATTGACCCATTATTTGTCACTTCTCTTGAGGCTCCAAATGCATCCTGAGCTGCTGCAGCCCACGGCCAGGACATTTACTTCTCCTTTGATGACTGTTCTGCATTCCCTTTTGCATCCTCCGTGGCCTTCTCAGGGATATGTGTCACAAGCAGCAGTGACAAACATTTTGGTGATAAGCATTTTGGTAACAAAATCAGGCCTTTCTGTCTCCAGACTGCAAAAAACCCCAAACAAATAAGCACTACTCCTTAGTGTTTGTTTCTGAATAAACAGTGATCACCCCTGACCCACACAAGCTGTGTGGTAATACTCACCTTACTTTCTCCGTGCCACAAACCTTTCTAGAACTACCTCTTTGTGTGCTTTTTTCCCCCCGATTTTTGATCTAAAAATTACTCTCTGGAGCCATTTTCGTAGCTTTACCAGTTGCATTGCCCTTCAGTGCACGTGTTTGCTGTAACTTTCCCCCCAAGAGTATCGTGTTTAAAGTCACAACCACTGTATTCCTGCCAATGTATTCCTCTTTACTTACAGGAAACCTATGAATGAGGTATGATACCATGAATGATACTATTAATCACTTTATTGCAACTGCACCCAGGAATCCCATTCACAGCTAAGACCTTGTTACACAAGTGCTATACCTATATAAAAAGTCTCCAGCTTCAAAGTGGTTACAAGCCTTTGTAAAAGCCTCCTGAAGTTTCCTGCGAACTTGTTACTGTAAAAAGAAAAATTGCATATTTCTTCTTGGAACAACATGCTTCTCAAACTTTTAGAAGAATGATTCATGTTTACTCTTATCTCCCTCCAGAGGAAAAAGAAAATGAGTTTAGAAATATTTTCAGCCTTACTCCCCATCGGACAAATTTGAGGGAGCTGACCCGCAGTTCATTGCCATGTGCAGGAGCTCTGCCCGTGCACAGCATCCATCCATGCCACAGCCCTTTCTCCAACGAGTCAGTGGACCTCGCAGACCCAAAGCCTTGGGAATGACCTAATTTCAGCATCTTTCCTCTTCCTTCCCCTCGAGATTCCTTTGGTGCTCCCTAATGCTGTATTATTTAATTATAACTAAAATAAATTGTGGAAAGAATGCAATTTCTGTAGTCCTGGCACTGAAGAAAACCTTATTAACACTGAAACGCCCTAAAAATGGATTCTGTTGAGGTGCCTCTTCAGTCCTGGCGACCCTGGACACTGTCCTGGAGCCATTGCCCTACCAGGTCTTGGGGTCAAGGGGCCGTTGTGGGTGCAGGGAAATCTAGGACATTCTCACTGCTGGGAAGAGGATTGTTTTTTCTACAAGGACACAGTTTATTCCTGTCCCCAGGGGGATCCACGCTGCTCTCTCCGCTGGGAAGGCGTGGGGAATTAACCCGAGAGGCTGAGGCAGCTTTGCCCTGTGCTACCCCATCCTCCATCCCCTGTCCCATCCCCAGCTCCCCCCAGCCACCTAAACACCCCCCAGCCATCCCCTACCTCTATTTTGCATTCCCCTCATGCCTTGCCCTTAATGCCCCTGCCAACACCTTCCCCTAAACCCACTCCTATCCACACATACCCTCCATGATCCCTGCCGCTAAACCTCTCCCCCCAGCCCCCTCTGCCATCCCCTGACCCTATTCACACTTCCCCCAACCCTTGCCCCTAAACCCCTTCAGCCATCCCCTGCTCCTGAACCTTCCCCCTCCAGACACCCCCTGCCCCTATCCACTCCCCTACCCCCTGCCCCTAAACCTCTTCTGTCAGCCCCCTCTGCCGTCCCCTGCCCTATTCATATTTCCCCCATTCCCGCCCCCGAAATCCCCTTGGTCACTCCCTGCCCCTAAACCTTTGTCCTTCAGCCAACCACTGCCCCTACCCACCCATCCACCCCTAAACCTTCCTCCTTCCCCCAAATCCTCCCCCCTGCAGGACCCTTATCCCTATCCACACACACCCTCCCTCACTCCCTGCTCCCAAACCTCCCTGCCCGCCACCCCCAGTCCCTAAATCTCTCCTTCCATCCTCCTCCACCATCCCCTGCCCTTATTCGCACTTCTCCCACTCTCTGCCCTTAAACCACTTCAGTCATCCCCTGCCCCTAAATCTCCACCCTGCAGCTCCCTGACCCTAACCACACACACCCTCTGTCACCCTCCGCCTCATCCAACCTCCCACCTCTAAACCTCTCCCCTTAGCCCCCTCCACCATTCTCTGCCCCTACTATTTGCACTTCCCCCATCCCTCCACCCTGAACCCCTCCAGCCATTCCCTGCTCCCAAACCCCTCCCCCGCTGCAGCGACCCACTGCCTCTATGCACCACCACCTCCCTAAACCTCTCCATTCCCCAAAACATGTCCCCTGCAGGACTGCCGACCCTAAACCTGCCCCTATTCACACACCCCCTCCACCACTCCCACCCCTCAACCTACCCCTCCAGCCACCCTCGCCCCTAAACCTCTCCCCTGAGCGCCCTCCACCACCTCCTGTGCCTACTGTTTGCACTTCCCCCACCCGGACCCTGAACCCCTCTAGCCATCCCCTGCCCCTAAACCTCTCCCCTGCAGTCCCCTGCCCCTATCCAACACACTCTCCCTCAACCTCTGCTCCTAAACCTCCCCGCCCGCCATCCCCAGCCCAGAAATCTCTCCTTCCAGCCCCCTCCACCATCCCATTCACACTTCCTCTGTCCCCTAAACCCCTTCTGCCACCTCCTGCCCCTATTTCATGTACACCCTCCCACATCCCCTGGCCCCCTGCAGACCCCAGCCCCTAACCCTGGCCCTATTTCGCACACACCCTCCGTCACCCCTTGCCTCTAACCCTCACCCCTGCAGACCCCAGCCCCTAACCCTGCCCCTATCCACACCCCCCCTCCACCTACCTCCCGTCCCCGAGTCCCCCCCGGGGCCTCCCCGCGGGGCGCGGCCGTGACGGGCAGCGCCGCTCCCCATTCAGCGCCCGCGGAGCCCCCGCGCCGCCCCGCCCCTTCCATCCCCCTTTGTATCCAACATCCGGGTTTCCCCGCTGGCTCCGCGCTGGCTTCTCCCTTTTTTTAGAAGCCATTTTGGACGCCGTTCAGCTTTTTTTTTTTTTTTTTTTTTTCCCCCTCCACGTTTTTTTTTAATTATTAAAAAAAAAAAAAAACAAAAACAACAACAAAAAACCCCCCCAAACCGCAACAACACCTCCCTTTCTCCCCCTACCCATTCCCCCCCCCTTATTTTTTTTTTTTTTTTTTTTTTCCCGCCTTGCCCATCCCGCACAGGGCACCTCCCGCCGCGCCCCCGCTCCCGCCGCCCCGCGCCCCGCGCAGCCCGCGATGCCGCGGCCCCCCGCCTCCGCCCTCCTCCTCCTCCTCCTCCTCTTCTCCTCCTCCGGCCCCGCACCGCCGCCCCGCAGCCCCTCCGCTGGCCCTTGCCTGCCGCTCCGCAGCCGCCCGGGATGCGGGGTCGGTACCACCGCGCACGGTCCCGGTCCCGGTTCCCCGCTCGCTGCCGGCGCGGGGAGCGCGCGTGGGTTGCGCGGGGGTTGGAGGGGGGGCAGGGGGAATGGTGGGTGTGGAATGCGCGGGTGTGTGCGGGAAAAAGGGGGGGGGGGGGGAAGACCGAATCCTGCGCGTGCATTGCGCGGGAACCCGCGGCGTGTGGGGGGGTTGGGTTCGGGGGGTGGGAGGGGGGGGGGCGTGTGCGTGTGTGCGCTCGCCCCTCGCTGCTGGGGGAGCCGGAGGGGCTGGGTTGGGAGGAGGAGGAGGGGGAAGGGGAAGAGGAGGAGGAGGAGTAGGAGGTGGGGGAGTCGGTGTGTGGTGCACGCCGCGCTCCCAGCACAAAAGCCCAGGGAAAGAAACTCTTGGAAAGCTGGGAGCGAACCGTGGGCCGGGCAGGAGCAGGTCGAACCGTCCCCTGGCTGTTCGTCTCCACTGGATACATTTTGCGACTGCGAAGGAATTAAATCCGATTTTCTCTCTCCTTTTTTTCCCCCCCCTACCCCCAGGATTTTTTTCTTCATTTTTTCTTTTTGAGAGCGAGAGGGAGGGCAGAGCCGCGCTTCTCCCCCCTCTTTTCACGCGCTCGATCTTTTTATTTTTATTTTTGTTTCCCTTGGGGATAGAGGTGCACGCAAGGAAGAAAAAAAAAAAGTAAAGGACTATGTTTGCTTCGTGGCTGACTTTCGCCGTGCTCTGGGGAACTTTCTGTGCAGGTAAGAGCCTTTCGGCGTGTTTACCTCCCGCTCGGGCTCTCGGTCGCGTCTCCAAATGCAGAATTGAATGGGCCGTGCGGCTATTTGCAGCCTCCCTACACAGCAGAGCAGAGCACCCGAGCTGGGGAATCCCCCCACCGCTGCTATCGGGTTAATTTCCTTTATTATTATTATGATTATTATTTTGCTTTCCATCGCCTCGCCCTCCCTCTCCGTTTTCTCCCTATTCGCAGGACAAGCCTTCCCCGAGCTGCTTTTTGTTCCCTCCAGGCAGCCTGCGGGAATTCATGGCAATGTAAACACGGCGCGATCTCGAGGAAACTTTGTAAAAATGGGCATTTACTTCTGGGCTGGGGCGTGTGGGGGGGAAGCCGAGGAAGTTGCGTGGGTGTAGAAGTTGGGAGCAGCGGGAGGAGACCTGGGGATCGCTCCGGAATGGTGCGGGGTCTCTCAGGTAATGGCCATGTGTGCGCCCCGCTCCTGCCGGGCTGCGGTTGTGTAACGCGGGGTGGGGGGTTGTGGGGGACCCCCCTCCGCCCCGAGGGCACCCTCTGGTTCCCCATCAGCCCCACGGGACGCCGCGGTCCCGTAGGGGTTGGCACGGAACGAGCCCTTTGGGGCTGGCTGGCGCCGCTGGGAGAAAGTTGGGAAAAAGGGGATGTGCGGGGCAGGGGGTGCCTGGGGGAGCATCCCTCGGGAGGAGGCTTCTGAGGCGGAGGGTGTTTGTTTTGTATGTTCTTCATCCCGTTTATTTTACGGACCTGGGTTGGTCCCCAAACTTCACCTCCAACCTGCGAGGTGCACGTTGTGCCGAGGGACGCGGGTGGAAGTTCGCCCACAGCCCGGACACGGCCGTGGGAACAGCAGGAGGAGGCACCCGGGGCAGCGCTTCGGGAGGCGGGGAGGGTCTCCATGGGGTGCCCCATCCCGCAGCCCTCGGGAGGAGGGGGGCGGGGAAGGGGTCAGACCCCCTGTGCTCCCCCCAGCACTGAAAACGCGGGCACGCTGGAAATCCCCGCGCTCCCCTCCTTTTTTTTTTTTTTTTTAATTTTTGATTCTGTTATTATTATTTTTCCTATTCCTTTTTTATTATCGCTGCATATCCCTCAGGGGAAACAGGGGCGGCAACAATTTTGCCCCCTCCCTTGCCTGGTCACCACGACCCCCCCCGGGGCTGAGCTCGCAGCCCTTCGCCCCGGCGCTGGGCAGTGACTTGTTACGTTCCCTCCATCTCCCGGCCCAGGGCTGGGGGGGGGGGGGGGCACGGGAGGGTGACGAGAAACGGAGGAGGGGGACTCTGCGTCCGGGGGTTCCCGGGGGCAGGGTGCGGGAGGCAGCGATGCTGTAGCCGTGCCCCGCTCCGCGATGGGCAGCCGGGGAGTTCCCGGCGGCTTTTTGCCATCACGGCTTCCTTATATCGCAAAGCTGGTGGGGGTAGGGAGGAGGAGGGGGTTCCCCGCGTGTGCGTGTCCGTGTCCCCCGCCCCGGGGAAGGCGCTGCCCGGCGGGGCAGGGGCCGGGGCGCGGAGCCGGCCCCGGGGCGCTCCTGCAGCCGGGGCTTCCTTTGTTCCGAGTGCCCATTAAATATGCGCTGCCACCGCCTGCCTCTGCCATTACCGACAGTGCCAGCGCTTCATTATTTATTTTTTTTTTTAAGTCACACCGAAAGTGTGTGTGTGTGTGTGTGTGTGAGTGGCAATAAAAAGGGAGCGGGCAATAAAAATTAAAAAAAAAAAAAAATTAATGTGTTGGTGAGCAAAGCCTGCTCGGGGTTTTTTATCTGATCGCTGGGACACTTGTACGCAGCTTTGTTTCCATGTGTTGGGAAGGGGGTTGTGCGGGTTTGTATTTACACAGCAGTGCCGGGGAGAGCAGGTATTTTGGAAGGAGCAGGCAAGGGGGGGGTGTGTATGTGCCAGCAACATTCCCGGTGCTCGGCGTTGCTCTCATCACAACAGCTCTCCTGGCTGGAAAATTCTATTATGTGCATAAAGGAGATTTATGGTCATTGTATTTTCTTTCCATATATCTTGGAATCCTTTTATCTCGGGTGATTCAATAAAAGGAGATGGCTTCCGGATTTTTTGGTTTTGTTTTGGGTATGGCGTTGGGTTTTTGTTTGGCTTGGGTTTGGTTTTTAACCTGATCCTATGGCTCTGTGCATATAGTGGTTGAAATCTAAGTTGGAGGAAAAAAAGCAATTGCTTTAAGAAAAATGAACCCTGAAAGCTTCTTAAATGTATCATGTTATGAAAAGGATAATCTGACAGGGCATACCTATGCTGACTTTTTCTCTCCCTGAAAATACAATAAAGAAACCCTAGAAAATTAGTCTTAATTCTGTTTATTTGAAAAGGTCCTCTTGAATCATAAAATCAGTGCATTAGCAATTCTGTAAATCCCTCTCTCTCTTTTAAAGCCTTTCTGTGCTTCTTCTGATATTTATGAGTGTTTATCAACATGATCTTCATTGTCCAGTTTTAACTAAAGCTGTTCAGTCAAAAAAAAAAAAAAGAAAACAAGCTCAGATACCCAAAGTTGGAATGTGTTGCTGGGATTCAGAGCACTGGGCTTTGCTTGAAGTATGTCTTTTGTGTGTGTACATGTTAGGGCTGTGCAAAAGTGGTGGGCTTTTCGAAAATCGCTTGACCTCCATTGTTGATGCTTCTCATTGCTACCTTGGCTGACTGTAACAAAGCAAGCACGGGCTGCTGTTCTTTAAAAAAAAAAAGTCTGTTATGCTTATTTTTTTTTTTGAGTACTGAGGATTCATTGAGGAAAACATTATGTTCATTTTTAGCCCTTTGTTTGCAAATTCTCTGCAGCCCAAATGTTCAGAAATCATGTTTTAATCGATGAGCCTGGGAAAATACAGAAGGTGTAAAAGGACTTGTCTTGCAGAATGCATTGCTAACATGTTTTCCGAGCCATTACATTACTTTTATTTTGGTGCAAGTTTAAGTAATGCCATGCAGCAGTGAATTGTGCTGCAAATGGATCTGGTCTCCTCTTTCACTGTCTTCTATTTATCCTCTTGTGCTTGAGAAAGGGAATAAAACTGGCTTCATTAGCCTGCTAATTAAACACAATGAAGTGCGTGGCCCAAGGTTAATGGCAATGGCCTTTAAAAACACAAAACTCTTGAACAGGTGTTTGGGATATATATTTTTTTAATCGGCCATCAAATCTAGATAATTATACCGCTGCGATAACCATTGTCAGAGTTCTGTGGAGAGGAAAATGCTATGTTTGAGGTGCCAGTGAGCAGTGTATTATTTTTAGTGGCATTATTTATAAACATCTCTCCAGGTCCTGCACAGCCTGTGGTTTAACTCCCCCCTTCTCCCTACTCTCCATTTCGAAGCATCTTCTGCATCTTTCCTTTGGTTGTTTTTTTTTTGTTGTTGTTGTTGTTTTTTTTGTTTGTTTTTTTTCCTGCATCAGGCAGGGTTACAAATTCTGTATCCCTTCACCACTGCGAGGGTCTAACCTGAGCCTGGGGAGTTAACTAAAGTATTTACACACTGAAATTTCTGCCATTTCTTGTGCCTTTGGGCAGCCTATGCAGGCTGAGAGGCTCCTGCTCGCTCGATGCGATTGGAAGAAGCAGCCAATTAAAGCAGAGGGCTCGCACTGCCCGCGTTCGAGCTGTCACCAGCCTCCTGTCCACTCTGCTCTCCATCAGCTAAAACACGCTTGTCAGGTTTTTTTGTGCTTTACATGACGCAACAGTTGTGGACCTCCCCTGCTGACTCTGAATAGATGGTAGAGAAGAAAGAGATGGGCCGGCCTCACTCTTTTTTCCTTCCTTTTTTTTTTTTTTGTTGTGTGGTTTTGTTTTGTCTGCTTTTTGTTTGTTTATTCTGTTTTGTTTTTATTCTCTTCTTTCCCTCCTGCCATTTTCCCCCACCCCCGTGCATGCACTCCTTGCTTTGCAGATCACCCCAGAAGGATTTCCTGGCTTTTTCCAGTTCTGGGAAGCAGGGCAAGTGCACAGGTTGAGACAGAAGTTCCAAGAGGCACATCTTTTGGAACTTGTGTAATGGGATGATGGGGCCAGCTCAGGAATCCCACTGCTGTAGTTTGCATCATTCCTGTCCATGGGGTGGGTCACTCTGCAGAAGTGTTGCAGGTGTAAAAGGGACCAAGGGATGTATATTTATCAAGAGCAAAGGAGGTGAGTGACAAGAGAGGGTTTGAGGTTGGGCACCTGTCAAAGGTGTGCTTGTGTGCTCTGCCCACATGGTACCTGTTCCTAGAAAGCCGGGAACACCTTTAAAATTAAATAAGCAGAAGTCAAAGTTACTCCATGTTTGGGGCCTTGTAGTGTAATGTGCTTTGGGTGTCATGTTGCAGGACCTGCTTTTAGAAGCATTTCTGAAATTCAGTGTTAAGAGTAGCTGACTTTGTGGAGCTGCAGTAGAATAATCAGAATTAAATGGGATTTTAGGAACCCTGGATCTTTGAAGCCCAATAAAATATAACAACTTTCTACCAAACACACCCAGGACAATAGTCTAAAATTTGTGAGAGTGACTTGGTAACCCCCTTCTTCTGGTTGTGCAAGGCCAAGGCAAGATAAGACCCTGGATGCCCCTTCTCCAGAGAGTATCACACCCAGTGCCGGGCACGGCCCCTCCTTATGGTGCCTCCTGTCAGTTGCCTGGAAATCTGTGTCTCCAGCCCTGCCAGCTAGCGCTGGAAAACTGTTCCTGTACTTTGGGAAGCGTGAAAGTAAGAGGAGAGAACCTGTTAGAGTTCAGTGGTGATCTAGACCCAGTTGAAAGCCCTCGTGGGCTCTTACCCTCAGCTTTGGCAACTGGAGAACTGCTCATGTGCTGAGAAAGTCTTGCAAAGGCAACTTGGGTTGGTCAGTACCTGCTGTAGAGTTGGCTTTCTCTTTCTGCTGGACTGGAGGAGTGGTGTCAAAAAGGCATGTGGCAGCTTTTTCCAGGTTCCTCAGACAGCTGTGGGCAGGGATGCAGGCAGCGAGGTGCTGTG